CTGCTCCCGGGGGCGAGCGGCGGTATCAGCCTGCGGCGCCAAGCAGCGTGCACTCCGCCCCGCGACAGATCACGTCGACCTCGCCGAAGTACACTCCAGTCCCCGCCACCACCACACCCCGAGCCAGCCTGCCCGCCGTCCGCTCACCCGGCTCGGGCCCGTGCTGGATCAAGGAGGTGGCCACGGATGGAGGTAGACACGGCCGGAGGCGAAGGGAACAGGACGCCCAGAGAAGTAGCTAGCAGCCCGCCGGTACCGTGGCTGTTCTTGCAGTTCAAGTAGCCCGCGACTATTGAAATGGACCAATGAGAGCCGACGCGGTCCTTGACGTCAATGATGCGACAGGGTTGAGGGCGAGGGAAGGCGGCCCTAGAGGGATCTGAACAGGGGCGGGGCGCAGAATCGCAGAACCGCGGCGGGAGGAAAAACGCCTGCGCAGAGCGCAAGGGCGGGGGAGGCGGAGCCCAGCGCCTCTCGACTTTAAATTGAGCTACAGGGCAATCCTGGATCTCACCGCAAGGGCTAACCCTTTTAGGACAAACGGAATTAAACTTCAACTGTTAGTGGGCCGTCCCATCCTTTAGCTAGCTCTGAACCTATAGTTAGGCTGACTGAGGCATTTCCTGGAGTCGGAACTCTGACGAGGCCGCTAACTGGGAATAATATTGGCTACGTGGAATGCGGTTGTTAGGATTCAGTAGGGTACATAAATCATCTGACACGCTGCTCACATAAACAAGCGGCAAACTATCAAATATCTGACCACTGAGCTGTTTCTTCACAAAGCATTTTCTTACAGTAAGCATTTTGTGAATGTGTTGATGCTGGGGATTGAACACGAGATCTGTGGATACTAAGCACAAGCTCCCACTGAGTCACATCCCCAGCCCAGTCTTCGGATTTTTATTTTTCCTAATTTAGATGCAAGCAACTTAAAATGCCACCTGGCTCTACCATTTGTAATATAAACGAATTCAAATAGAAAATTTTTTGTCTTTCCCCCTCAAGCAGTGTCAATCAAGCACAGAGTAAAATACTAGTGATCTAGGTACGATTCTTTTTAATGTTCCATTTAGAAATGAAGGTTGTTTAAATGGGGGCTGGGGTTGTAGCACAGTGGTAGACCACATGCTTAGCATGTGCAGGGCTCTGGGTTCAATCCCCACCACTTCCCCTTAAATACAATAAAAACAGTATGACCTTATTAAAATAAAATTACACCATATGTGCCTTAATCAAATTTTTAACATTTAATATTCAAGGACTGTACATAATGAACCATTGTTTTCCGAAAAATATACACATTTACCCCCCACCCCCCGCCCTTTGTAGTTTTTTGAGACAGGATCTTGCAGGGCAGTTCAGACTGGCCTTGAACTCACTACACAGCCCAGGCTGGCCTTACACTCAAATGATTTCCCTGCCTAAACCTCCAAAGTGCTGGGATTAAAGGCGTGTGCCACCACACCCAGATCCATGTACTCTTCTCGAAAACACAAAAAATAGCTCATTTCCACTGTCTTTATGACATTTAAATCTTTAAATACAATATTCCCCAGAAGTAAATAAATATAAATTAAGATTAATTAACAAGATTTCTGTAATTTGAGTCTTATTTTCCTTCATGTATAATAACATGGATGTCTGTGGACAGCAGTGCAAGAAAAACCTTAGCCCCCATCACTCTTCACTGTATACATCTACAGCTCGATTGGTTGGGTACATCAAGTTAAAGTCCCTTTTCTCTGCTTTTCCCCTGGCCATAATTTACAGCACTGAGGCAGCTATGCATTTCACCAACTACAGCAGGGTCATAAAATGTTACCAAGCAAGAGAGAAATCAGCTGCAGATCAATTCTAACTCCTAAAACACAAATGGTAGGTTATTTTCACTGGTTGGTGATACACAGGAACCAGTATGCAAACCAGGTACCAGAACTTGGATTCTGGTTCACCTTTATAGATACTAGCGTGTCCTCTTAATTACTTCATATCATGGAGAATTCTTACATTATTTGACAAAGTTATAAAACAATTGTGAAGATTAAATAAGGTATTTTATAAAAATTAAAATTTGTGAAACCTGTAGTTTATATTGTATACATTTCATAAAAAATTTGAAGTTTTATTTTCAAAACATTTCTCAATTTAAAATATCAACTTGCCACAAATTTAACATTCCTTTATAATCATTCAATTTGTTTTAAAAATAAAAAATATTTTTAAATAGTTCCATTGTCAAAAGAAATAGAAGTTTTACATTAAAAAGTCATATCTAAAATATTTTTAACATTAAAAGCTTGTGATTCTGCTTCAACATTTTTTTGATAAGCACACCACTTCTTTGACTTTTACCTTTTTTACCTTTCATGCTGCATCAAAGAAAGCAATCAATGCATTTTGGTCATAACTGTCCAGAATCTCTAGTAGAAGAGGTACTTTGGTTTTTACATTGGTGCCTTTGAATTTAAATTTATCTATGAAAAGATCGGTGATCATTCCTAGAAAGAAAAATGTTTTTTAATGAAACAGAGTAATTGTTTAATCATGTATTTCCAAGCACCCAAAAATCCATTAATATATACAAATCTGCAAGTGTTGATACTTTTTAAAATATTGGGGGGAGGCAAATTTTATATATCTAATATATATATGTGTGTGTGTGTGTATATATGTGTGTGTGTGTGTGTGTGTGTGTGTGTATTTTTTATTTTATTTTATTTATTTATTTATTTTTTGAGGCAGGGTTTCGCTCTGTAGTTCTGGCTGGCCTTGAATTCACCATGTAGCCCAGGGTGGCCTGGAACTCATGGTAATCCTTCTGTCTCAACCTCCTGAGTGCTAGGATTACAGGCGTGGACCACCACATCAGGCTCTAATAATCTTTTTAACAACTGTTTATAAATTATTCATTCAGACAATGGCTGACCAGTTTTGAATAGGTATTGGTAAATATGACATCACAACAAAACAGATTCTATACTTAATAGTTTTGTATAAATTAAAATATTCCATATATATGGTCATGTTTGGGATGTGTCTTGAAGGTCAAGAGTCCTAGATTCAAGGATCTGGCAAATTATTTCACCTCTGTATTTTTCCAGATATAAAATAGGAATAGTTCAAGTTGTCAGTCCTTTATCTAAAATTCTTGGTGCAAATGCACTGCAAAAGTTTTCATATTTTAGGAAGAGAATAAAAGAAATGTACCATTTATGTGTTAAGAAGACTGAGTGACAATGTCTGATAATAAAACTAATATTTTGACAACAAATATATAGATCTTTGCATTAAATAAAATTTAAAAGATTAGAAATAACTTCATGTCAATTTAGGTCAAATTTATCATTAAGTTATATATACTAAGTCAGATTTTGCTGCCAGATGATTTATTTAAAATTTTTCTGGTTTTGAAATCACTGAGAATGGGTGGCAGGTCTGCACCACCCATCATCTAGGTTGTTTTAAGGATAAAAGAAGTCTTGTGCTTGCTACATAGGAAACATTGTTATTATATATTGTTATAGTTTGTGAGGAAATCTCTGGATACATAATAAATTCAGGAGATGGATTGAAGGATCAATGTGGACTGATAACATCAATTAAAGCTGGGTGTTGTGGCACACACGTATAACCCCAGCATTCTGCAAGGCTGAGGAAGGAGAATAGTTAAGTTTGAGTCCAGCCTGGGCTATTTAGTGAATTAGTTAGACTGGGTCCCCCCCAAAAAAAGGAAGGAAAGGGGAGTGGGTGCTGGGGGAGGGTGTGGCTCAGTGCAAAGCCTCTGGGTTCAATTCCCAGTAATGGGGGAAAAAAAATCAATCAACTGCCTGTGGATGGATTGGCATTGCGAAAAAAGCATGAATTTTGAAGTGAGAAGCTTCTAGTGCAGGATTTGCATCTAACAAGGTATGAGACAACAAATTCTTTAGTCTCATATTTAAAGATTTAAAAGATGAAGATAACACCATAACATCTACCTTGTGGAGCTGTTATAAGGATTATATATATCATTGGATTAGGAAGATGGCATCAACAGCATGCTGCTAACAAAACCTTTTCTTAGCTGGGTATGGTGGTACACCCCTATAATCCCAGCTATTCAGGAAGCTGAGGGAGGAGGTTTCCAAGTCTGAGGCCAGCCTGGGCAATTTACCAAGAACTTCTTTCAAAATAAAACAAAAAAAGGCCTAGCAATGTAGTTTAGGAGTCCCAATCTCTGTGATGAAAATTAAAAAAAAAAAAAAAAGTTTTCCTCAATCTGTTCCTTTCTCACAGATGCCAATATCCGTTATTAAATTTTGACTAAAAATATTAAATGCTGCATTTCTATATTCTGCAATAGCAGTAACAGCTGAAAATTTATTTGTTTAAAGTATGTCTAAATGTTGTTTTGTTTGAGACAAGGGCTTGCTATGTAGCCCAAGCTTGAAATAAGATCTTCCTTCAGCAGCCCCCATGGTGCTGGGATTACAGGTGTGCAGCACAGTGCCCAGTCAAAAGTGAATTTCTTAATATGTCATAAGATTTATTCATTTTATACTATATTTTTTGTTATATATAAATCACCACAGTATATTTTTACTTGTTTTACTACCATTTTATCAATTAAAAATATTAAATTTTAAAACAAGTTAGACAGAATACAAAATACTCTGCAGTAAGTTGGTTGCCATTGGCTCATGACTGATGTAACATTTGCATTTGTTTTTCTGCCTAACTTATTTCTTATGATCCACAGCAAACAGCCAGATGAAAAGAAATATAGCAAGATATGAGAACAGTCCACTAACCATACAGTCTTTCCAGATGCGCAGGTTGCCTTTTGTATTCTTCCTGTAGGTGATCAGCCTCTTCTAGAATACTACGGTATTCTGGTATCAAGAAGTTTGCATTTCCCTCGTGAACCTGCAATTCCTTTTTTAAATTAAAAAAGAGAAGCACCTTAATATTCACAATTCAATAAAATGTAATGTGAAAGTATGATTTTAGAAATCCCATTATTTAAAGTAATGATCATGAGTCCGTGACACATAAACTTACTTTTAAAGCATCAATTAACTGCACTTTCTTAGCCAAAAGCAACTGGTATTCCAGCTTTGGGTGGATTAGTTTTAAAGTGTGTTTGACTGATACTTCATTTATCTCTAAAAGAAGTTGGTTAGACACAATTAGATAAATCACTTCCATCAGAAACATTATAACAATAACTACAAAAAAGATTAATTTTTCATACCATATGATATGTTGAGGTTAATTTTCCTTTTTGTGGCTTCTTTAGAAAGCACATCTTTTAGAATGGAAATTGTAGAAATGTTGTCAGATTTAAAAACGCCTTCTCCTTTTCTATAAAATTAATATATTTTGAAAAGACAAGCTGTAGAAGGAATTATACCTGTAATTATGTATTTTATGACTAGTACTCAATGTTTACTACTTGATTTTATTAAAGCAAAACATTTATCAGTCCATTTTAGATATACATAATAACATTCATCATAGGGAAATTGTACCTGTATGTGATATATCTTGCTTCTTTTCCCATTCCCCCCTTCCTCCTCTCATTTACAATAGCTTTATTTCCATTTTTTTCTTCTAGCATCTTTTATCTTGTCCTTTCTTTCCTTTCCTTCTCCATTACTGGTTCCCATTATAATTTGAACATTTTCTTCCCATTTCCCAATATCTATTATACATTTTGGTCCTTATTTCCATTTTTGGTTTCTCACACAAGAGAAACAATGTGGTATTTAAACATGTGTGTCTGGTTTATTTTGCCTAAGAGTATGGTCTCAAGGTGCATCCA